TTCGATTCCCACTCACGGCCAACACCGTCCAATGACGATTACCTTGAACCGATCGACTCGTGGGTACCTAGTGTGGCGTGTAAACATCGCCACTGGGGAGACAAAGGCGGCCGGGCATGGTCTTGGCCACCCCACCCCCTCGTGTGCCTCGCCGGCCTTCATGGGTTCTCGCTAACAGCACTTGCTCCGTAAAGTCTATCGAGGCTACAAGGGGAGTGGGGGGGGGAGCTTTGTCTTGTGCCAATGCGCGTGCGTCCGAGTGCGCGCGCGCGTACAGAGGCCGAGCGAACTGGCAAACGCGCACACACACACACAGACAACCCCTCTGCGTGTGTACACAGACACCCCCCCCCCCTCTGCGTGTGTACACACACACTCGCGCTCCAAGCAGCGGGCTGGGCGGGCGAGCCGAACGAGCGCCGTGTGGCTGACAGATGGACCGCAGACCCCGGCAACATCTGTTCATCTCGTATCACCTTTAAAGCCGCGAGCAAAATGCGACGCGCTCAGCCTCCGGTGGGGGGGTGGGGGGGCCCGCCTGATTGAATGACACGGGCGGTGTGACGAGGCAGCCCCAGTCAGCCGGCGTTGTGTGTGTGCGTGCGTGGCCTGCCACGGGACCTCCACCGCGGTAATGAAGCCATTAGCGGACTTGTGAACGACTCGATTAGGTGCGCCCGTGATTGACCGGCCGGAACCATGACGAATGACCCTTCATGCCCTGATTCCCACCCCCCCCCCAGGGGCCAGCTCGTGGTCAAGCTGGACGCGGATAACCCGATACCTGCAAAGATATTTATTCATCTTTGGTTTTCGTCCGCGTTTGTCGCTTCGTTCACGTAACCAGCCGACAGGCCGACCATGCGAGATTAATGGTCTCCGTTATTTCGAGGTGACCGCTCCCCAAGTGGTTCGGAGTTTCTGGGGCACGATCGGCCGGACACTGCGTCGATGTCTTCGTAGGTTTCGTGTCGAGTCGACGGCCGGAGAGTTGAATTAGCGTGGTAGTGTAGCGAGTTGAATTAGCAGTGGTGGTGTAGTGAGTTGAATTAGCGTGGTGGTGTAGTGAGTTGAATTAGCGTGGTGGTGTAGTGAGTTGAATTAGCGTGGTGGTGTAGTGAGTTGAATTAGCGTGGTGGTGTAGTGAGTTGAATTAGGGTGGTGGTGTAGTCAGTTGAATTAGCGTGGTGGTGTAGTGAGTTGAATTAGCGTGGTGGTGTAGCGAGTTGAATTAGCGTGGTGGTGTAGTGAGTTGAATTAGCGTGGTGGTGTAGTGAGTTGAATTAGCGTGGTGGTGTAGTGAGTTGAATTAGCGTGGTGGTGTAGCGAGTTGAATTAGCGTGGTGATGTAGTGAGTTGAATTAGCGTGGTGGTGTAGTGTGTTGAATTAGCGTGGTGATGTAGTGAGTTGAATTAGCGTGGTGGTGTAGTGTGTTGAATTAGCGTGGTGGTGTAGTGAATTGAATTAGCGTGGTGGTGTAGTGAGTTGAATTAGCATGGTGGTGTAGTGAGTTGAATTAGCGTGGTAGTGTAGCGAGTTGAATTAGCGTGGTGGTGTAGTGAGTTGAATTAGCGTGGTGGTGTAGTGAGTTGAATTAGCGTGGTGGTGTAGTGAGTTGAATTAGCGTGGTGGTGTAGTGAGTTGAATTAGCGTGGTGGTGTAGTGAGTTGAATTAGCGTGGTGGTGTAGTGAGTTGAATTAGCGTGGTGGTGTAGCGGAGTTGAATTAGCGTGGTGGTGTAGTGAGTTGAAATTAGCGTGGTGGTGTAGTGAGTTAAATTAGCGTGGTGGTGTAGTGAGTTAAATTAGCATGGTGGTGTAGCGAGTTGAATTAGCGTGGTGGTGTAGTGAGTTAAATTAGCGTGGTGGTGTAGCGAGTTAAATTAGCGTGGTGGTGTAGTGAGTTGAATTAGCGTGGTGGTGTAGTGAGTTGAATTAGCGTGGTGGTGTAGTGAGTTAATTAGCGTGGTGGTGTAGTGAGTTGAATTAGCGTGGTGGTGTAGTGAGTTGAAATTAGCGTGGTGGTGTAGTGAGTTGAATTAGCGTGGTGGTGTTAGCGAGTTGAAATTAGCGTGGTGGTGTAGTGAGTTGAAATTAGCAGGTGGGTAGTGGTGATGCGAGTTAAATTAGCGTGGTGGTGTAGTGAGTTGAATTAGCGTGGTGGTGTAGTGAGTTAAATTAGCGTGGTGGTGTAGCGAGTTGAATTAGCGTGGTGGTGTAGTGAGTTAAATTAGCGTGGTGGTGTAGTGAGTTGAATTAGCGTGGTGGTGTAGTGAGTTGAATTAGCGTGGTGGTGTAGTAAGTTGAATTAGCGTGGTGGTGTAGTGAGTTGAATTAGCGTGGTGGTGTAGTGAGTTGAATTACCGTGGTGGTGTAGCGAGTTGAATTAGCATGGTGGTGTAGTGAGTTAAATTAGCGTGGTGGTGTAGTGAGTTGAATTAGCGTGGTGGTGTAGCGAGTTAAATTAGCGTGGTGGTGTAGTTAGTTGAATTAGCGTGGTGGTGTAGTGAGTTGAATTAGCGTGGTGGTGTAGTGAGTTGAATTAGCGTGGTGGTGTAGCGAGTTGAATTAGCATGGTGGTGTAGTGAGTTGAATTAGCGTGGTGGTGTAGTGAGTTGAATTAGCGTGGTGGTGTAGTGAGTTGAATTAGTGTGGTGGTGTAGTGAGTTAAATTAGCGTGGTGGTGTAGTGAGTTGAATTAGCGTGGTGGTGTAGTGAGTTGAATTAGCGTGGTGGTGTAGCGAGTTGAATTAGCGTGGTGGTATAGTTAGTTGAATTAGCGTGGTGGTGTAGTGAGTTAAATTAGCGTGGTGGTGTAGTGAGTTGAATTAGCGTGGTGGTGTAGTGAGTTAAATTAGCGTGGTGGTGTAGCGAGTTGAATTAGCGTGGTGGTGTAGTGAGTTAAATTAGCGTGGTGGTGTAGTGAGTTAAATTAGCGTGGTGGTGTAGTGAGTTAAATTAGCGTGGTGGTGTAGTGAGTTAAATTAGCGTGGTGGTGTAGTTAGTTGAATTAGCGTGGTGGTGTAGTGAGTTGAATTAGCGTGGTGGTGTAGCGAGTTAAATTAGCGTGGTGGTGTAGCGAGTCAAATTGGCGTGGTGGTGTAGTGAGTTGAATTAGCGTGGTGGTGTAGCGAGTTGAATTAGCATGGTGGTGTAGCGAGTTAAATTAGCGTGGTGGTGTAGTGAGTTGAATTAGCGTGGTGGTGTAGTGTGTTGAATTAGCGTGGTGGTATAGTGAGTTGAATTAGCGTGGTGGTGTAGTGAGTTGAATTAGTGTGGTGGTGTAGTGTGTTGAATTAGCGTGGTGGTGTAGTGAGTTGAATTAGCGTGGTGGTGTAGTGAGTTGAATTAGTGTGGTGGTGTAGTGAGTTGAATTAGCGTGGTGGTGTAGTGTGTTGAATTAGCGTGGTGGTATAGTGAGTTGAATTAGCGTGGTGGTGTAGTGAGTTGAATTAGTGTGGTGGTGTAGTGAGTTGAATTAGTGTGGTGGTGTAGTGAGTTGAATTAGCGTGGTGGTATAGTGAGTTGAATTAGCGTGGTGGTGTAGTGAGTTGAATTAGCGTGGTGGTGTAGTGTGTTGAATTAGCGTGGTGGTGTAGTGAGTTGAATTAGCATGGTGGTGTAGTGTGTTGAATTAGCGTGGTGGTATAGTGAGTTGAATTAGCGTGGTGGTGTAGTGAGTTGAATGAGCGTGGTGGTGTAGTGAGTTGAATTAGCGTGGTGGTGTAGTGAGTTGAATTAGCGTGGTGGTGTAGTGAGTTGAATTAGCGTGGTGGTGTAGCGAGTTGAATTTGCGTGGTGGTGTAGTGAGTTGAATTAGCGTGGTGGTGTAGCGAGTTGAATGAGCGTGGTGGTGTAGTGAGTTGAATTAACGTGGTGGTGTAGTGAGTTGAATTAGCGTGGTGGTGTAGTGAGTTGAATTAGCGTGGTGTTGTAGTGAGTTGAATTAGCGTGGTGGTGTAGTGAGTTGAATTAGTGTGGTGGTGTAGTGAGTTGAATTAGCGTGGTGGTGTAGTGTGTTGAATTAAAGCGGTGGTGTAGTGAGTTAAATTAGTGTGGTGGTGTAGTGAGTTGAATTAGCGTGGTGGTGTAGTGAGTTGAATTAGCGTGGTGGTGTAGCGAGTTGAATTAGCGTGGTGGTGTAGTGAGTTGAATTAAAGCGGTGGTGTAGTGAGTTGAATTAGCGTGGTGGTGTAGTAAGTTGAATTAGCGTGGTGGTGTAGCGAGTTGAATTAGCGTGGTGGTGTAGTGAGTTGAATTAGCGTGGTGGTGTAGTGAGTTGAATTAGCGTGGTGGTGTAGTGAGTTGAATTAGCGTGGTGGTGTAGCGAGTTGAATTAGCGTGGTGGTGTTGTAGTGAGTTGAATTAGCTTGGTGGTGTAGTGAGTTGAATTAAAGCGGTGGTGTAGTGAGTTGAATTAGCGTGGTGGTGTAGTGAGTTGAATTAGCGTGGTGGTGTAGCGAGTTGAATTAGCGTGGTGGTGTAGTGAGTTGAATTAAAGCGGTGGTGTAGTGAGTTGAATTAGCGTGGTGGTGTAGTGAGTTGAATTAGCGTGGTGGTGTAGCGAGTTGAATTAGCGTGGTGGTGTAGTGAGTTGAATTAGCGTGGTGGTGTAGTGAGTTGAATTAGCGTGGTGTTGTAGTGAGTTGAATTAGCGTGGTGGTGTAGTGAGTTGAATTAGTGTGGTGGTGTAGTGAGTTGAATTAGCGTGGTGGTGTAGTGTGTTGAATTAGCGTGGTGGTGTAGTGAGTTGAATTAGCGTGGTGGTGTAGCGAGTTGCATTAGCGTGGTGGTGTAGTGAGTTGAATTAGCGTGGTGGTGTCGCGAGTTGAATTAGCGTGGTGGTGTAGTGAGTTGAATTAGCGTGGTGGTGTAGTGAGTTGAATTAGCGTGGTGGTGGAGCGAGTTGAATTAGCGTGGTGGTGGAGCGAGTTGAATTAACACGGTGGTGTAGCGAGTTGAATTAACACAGTGGCACTACCTTGTGTGTGCGTGAGCAGGCTTCTGGTTCAGCCCCGAGTGCGAGTTTGTGCGCGAGTCCATCTCTCGCTCCCAGGACAACGTGGAGGGCTGGGTGCGTCTCTCTGTGTCCAAGGGCCACGTGTACGTGCTGGGTCGCCACTCGCCGCTGTCCCTCTACAACGAGCAGCTCGTAAGGTGAGGCCGCGTGGGTCAACGTCGTGGGTTCGATCCTGACCCTGACGCCTGCTGCTGTATATTTGGAGTTTGCGGTGTCTCTCTCTCTCATTATCATCACGGTGGCGAGGAGATGTTAACTACCTCGCCTGCTATACAGGAGGTCGTGGGTTCGATCCTGACTGACCCTGACGCCTGCTGTATATTTGGAGTTGGTGGGTTCTCTCTCTCCCATCATCATCACGGTGGCTAGGAGATGTCAACTACTTCGCCTGGTGTGCAGGAGGTCGAGGGTTTGATCCCGACCCTGACGCCTGCTGCTGAATCTTTGGAGTTTGCGTGTCTCTCTCTCTCTGTGGACTTTTCTTCGGGTCCTCCGGTTTTTCCCTCCACGTTTAAAAACATACGCTTATAGTATTTGGCTGCTATACGTTTCCACTTGATGATAAAAGCTACTTCGCTGAGCTGTCATTTGTGGCCAGGTCGCTTCTGAAAAAGAGTTATGTAGCTCAGTGGGCCTTGCCTGGTCATCGTTTTAATTTTTAGTAATATTATCTGGCGATACGTCGATAGCTGTGTAAGCCCCAGCACTGAGCCGTCAAACACAGGAGCTGGATCGCCAAATCAACCGTGGCCAAATTCCAATTCATTAATCCATCAACCCCCACCAACATTCGTTGTTTCATATCACCCGGAACGGATGTATTTTCATAACTGCTTCCGAATAAACAGGAGTCAGAAGAGGGGGTGGAGGAGGGGAGGGGGTGGGGGTGGTTGACGATTCGTAGCGCAGCGGCGAGCGCGCACAGCGATGTCAAAATCCGGTCACTCTATTTCGATTCCCGTGCACACGATTGACATCAGCGGCGAGCGACATCCGTCCGCCAATTTACCGTCTCGCGTTGAAGTATGACCACGCACCAAAAGAGAAAACGCCTGCACCCACGACCGCCGAGACGGCGGGGGCGTCCGCCGCGCCCGTCCAGCAGCGGATCGACAAAAGGGGGGCGGCCGTGACGCGCGAATTGGATCGGCGTTTCTGGCGGGGCACGATCTGCGCGCGGGTTTATTTTTTGTTTTGTTCGACGCGTCGCTGAAAGGAATCCTCGCGTGAGTGCGTGCGCTCGAGGTGCTCGGAGCACATTAACGTCCCCCCCCCCCCCCCCCGGCCGCAGGGACGCGTCCTTTGTGAGCCGCGCAGCGCAAAGTGTTTCCGATTGTCTCTCTCTCTTCTGCTGCTGCTGCTGCTGCCGCTTCATCAGTGCGAGCTGGCGACAGAAAGGGGGGGGGGGGGACGGCACGATTGCTGGGGGGGGGGGGTGTGGGGGCTGGGCCCCCCATCGAAGTGGAGAGGCGCGGAGGTGGCACGGGCAACTCATTTAAAATAGAGAGACGTTTTTGGGGGGGTGGGGATGCAATAGAGAGGAGAAAATCGACACAATAAAACGCAAATTGATAAATAACAATACGTCGCCGCCGCCATAGACGCGCACATTAAACACTTGACTGTTTCGAGTGGCCGCTTTTGTGCTCTCGGCTCGCGGATTTAATAAAGGGATAAAGGGAGGCAAGCGCCAGCCGCGAAGAGGGGGACCTTCTGGTGAAAGGGGACCCCATTAGGTGACTCGTGTACAAGACGTCCGCTTTTACCGTGGTCAAGGCCAAGCATCTCCCCCCCTCCCGCCCCCCCGCTCCGCCTATCTGTCGGGCGATGGGTTCCCATTTGCAGATTAAAACAAAAAAATCCGCAGCCTTCGGCGCTTTTATGCGACGAGGCGCTCGGCACGTAGAAATTATCGCGTAGACGCGGGGAAAAGTGGGAGGGGAATGCATATATTTTAACGTGTTGTGATGTGATGTGTTTGTCTGGTGGTTTTTATTTATTCGCATGCCCAATTGCTTCCCTGGATGTTGTCAGAGCGGCGGTAATAGGGGGCGGTGTTGGGTGTCAACAATTAGACATTTAACAATGCGTCGATTGATCAATTGAAGTGGATACTTAAGTTCATGATATGGTTTGGAAATTTGCATTCGACGTCGATGAAGAGATCGTGGCATTATTTTCACGCGCTGCATTTGCAATCCGGAGGTCGCCGGTTCGATTGGCTGGCATTTGCGGTCGGAACGACGGCACGAGTTTGTTTTGTTAAATCCTTGCGTCCACAAACGGATTTACTGCAGCTGGCCAATAGATGGGTCGCGTGTGGTGGAGTAAAGTGTGGGTTCCCCCAGCTCTTCCGAGCCGTCCTGGCCGGCATGGAAGAGTAGGCCCAGGGGCTTTCTCGAGCCCCCTCTGTTGGAAGCCCTTCCGCCAGCAGTGGTGTGAGATGGCACTTGCAGGGGATGCCCCTTTGGCTGTTTTCGCTTTCATTTCACACTGAATATTTGCCGGGGTTCGCCGGTCGACTGGGGTAGGTGGAACGAGTAGCAGCCACGGCCAATAGCGAGAGTTGTATCGGGGATGTGGTGGGACGGACACGAAAATATTTTCTAACATTAAAAAAATATTTATTCTGGCTGTGGGTGAAACTCACGTCACTGGACATCTGTTAAAAAGCGCAGCTCATCAGATTCCTCCGGCGTAAATAACTATTCGGATTCTGATTGTGGAGTTTCCTTCTCTCATCCACAGCATGAACGTCCAGGGAGACTATGACCCTGTAGATGCCGCGGGGTTCATCAAGATCAACTCGCTCCGGTGAGGTCCCAGCTCACACCACTCACGCCGTCTCACCCCGGTCTCACCCCGCCTCACCCCGCCTCACCCCTAACCCTCTTCGGAACCCGGCACCGCACGTCAGCGAGAGCTTGCGCCACGATGCCACTGGAGCATTTCCTCGACCGTCGTCACCGGCATTTGGCCCCTGCAACGCATTTCCCGTGAGCGACCGTGACACAGACCTCGTGCTAGATTCATAAAGAAAAGGTGTTCAGCACTTCCTGAATGGTGTGGGGACTGAACAGTGGGCGGAGCTACCTGAACAGTGGGTGGGGCTACCCAAGTAGTGGGTGGGGTTACCTGAGTAGTGGGTGGAGCTACCTGAGTAGTGGGCGGGGCTACCCAGGCAGTGGGTGGGGCTACCCAGTCAGTGGGTGGGGCTACCCAGTCAGTGGGTGGGGCTACCTGAGTAGTGGGTGGGGCTACCCAGGCAGTGGGTGGACCTACCCAAGTAGTGGGCGGGGCTACCCAAGCAGTGGGTGGAGCTACCCAAGTAGTGGGTGGGGCTACCTGAGTAGTGGGTGGAGCTACCCAAGCAGTGGGTGGAGCTAACCAATCTTTGTGCGGGGCTACCGGGGCAGTGGACGGGGCTGCCAACTCACCATGTGGCTCGGTTGAGCCTCACAGAAATGTCCCAATCTTGATTTTTTTTTTCTTGCTGTGGTTTCCCCCACCTGATGACGATTGCTTGCGTTGCGATCGAAACGTCGCGATCTATTATTTTTCTACCCACGTGACTTCACCGAAAGAACCAAGGAGTGAGACATTTCCCAGCTTCACGCGATTCGGGTTGGCGTGAGACGTCGCGCAAAAACTGACACGTGCCCGCGTGTGCCCTTTCACAGGCTTCAAGAATACCGTCGGCTGCGCACCAAGTTGGAATCGCAGCCGCCGAGCGTGTGATAGGTTTCTTCGAGTTTGTGCCAAGGCCCCAGCGTTTGATGCCCTCGGCCCAATGTTTTTGACTCTCGCAAGCCAACGTTTTAACTCCCACACACTGCACTGCTGCCCAGGGCACAGTCAGAAAGAGTACGAGGGGGGGGACCCATTTCATTCCTTGCACCAGTACCCATGCCAATCACGCCAACCACGCTAGGCCAACCTAGTTGGCGCAGTCTATTGATGAATGTTTAAATTGAATGCGGGAGGAAAGCGTAGCACCCGTAGAAAACCCATCGTTCGTTCGAGGGGGTAACGCTCAAAGCTTTCGCAAGCATCGATTCAAGATTCTATTTACATACGCCCATTTGCCTGGCCACCTTGTGGCCTCAGTTCTCAGGCAGTTGTCTCCCAGGCTCAAGCTTGCTTAGCTTCTGATTTTACAAGAAAAATATTTTATTGTTAAAAATGTATGCTTTGTAGAATAATTCTCTGATTCCCGGTACAAAATAATTGATCCAGCAACACTTTCAGGGCCCCGGGTTCGAGTTCCGGTCGCCACTCGGATAACGCCGGAATTTTATCGCACTGTGTCGTTTTGACAGTGTTTTGTTCATTCACGTAAGCGGTGAACGCACAATAAAATTAACAAGTTGGGAGAAAAAAAAGACCATGCGTCGTAGGCATGGGTGATGTAATGCTTTGTCACGTGCCTTTCTCTTCGGACGTATGTAATCAGCTGCAAATAAGCCGGTGGGAAGCTGCCATGGCCACGTGCGTGTTTCCATATTTGCAAGCGGTGCTTTTGCCTTTCGACTTTCGGGAGACCCTAAAAAAAAAACAATGAGTCCAGTTTTCAAGAGGATAAGTTCTGAGAAGCAACGCAGCTAAAGTTTTTGTTCGCGAGAGATCATCTTTACGAGAGTTATAGCGTCCTCCGCTGCCGCTCTCTTACTGGCAGACGGACACGGCGAGTGCATGAAGGATTTGATCCTGAATTGGAAAGTATAAAACAATATACTCTTTGGTTCTTTCGGTAAAGTCACGTAGGTATCAAATAAAATAAAATGAATCACGACGTTTCGGGCGCAACACAAGCGTCCGTCATCAGGTGTTTGATACCCACATGACTTTACCGAAAGAACCAAAGAGTGTGGATTCCTGCAGTCACGAAAGCTTCAAATCAAGATATAAATAATATGTTTGTAGTTCAGGGCGAACGGTGTGACTTGGTTGAGCCATTGTTAACGTCCTCGAAGAACACTTGGGGTAGGTTAAGAAGTAAAACATCAGTCGTCTTTGTGACACCACTCATCTGAAGCCATGTAAAACTCATTTCAATGATTTAAAACAGTTGTGTAATATTCGAATCTTAGAATGAAAAAAACACATATCTAGGAAACTATATTTACATCGCCGAGTCATTTCACTCCTGAATGATGGCTTCCTGGCAATGTGTCGGTCAAGGGGGTTGTTTTTTTTTACCATACTTGACCATTCCTGTTGGTGAGAGATAACTCATAAAATGAAACGACCGTATTCAATAACGAAAACATTTTCTGTCTGGTTGCGGTCACGACAGCGCTCGTAAAGATGATCCAATATGAACACAATTTAATTATAAAGTGGCAATGCTATGACGGACGACTTAGAGGGTTACCCGAAGCTAGGTGGAGAAAAAAAATCCAACACTCGTTCCCATGCAGGTGAAACGGATGGAGTCGACATTTATTGTGCCGCATGCTGGTAAGCCACCTTAAGGTTTGTGTGTGATCCATCAACACCTCACCACCAACTGCTCGCCACCGACCCCCATGCCACCGACCTCTCGCCACCGACCCCCTCGCCACCGACCCCCTCGCCTGGCTAAATGATGCTTCTATTTTTTGCTGCCCCCAAAATGTCACTGGCTGAGACCGGAGCAAAGGAAGCGGAAGGAGAGATGACAACAGCGGGGTGAAATCGCAGAGTTCGGAGGGCACTAATAGACAACAACTACTAAGGACAGGAGGGAAATGGGAGACAATTGGGGAGGCCTTGGCCCAGTAGTGGGCCAGGGCAGCCTGCAAACAACAACAACAGTATTCTTGGTTCTTTCGGTAAAGTCACGTAGAAGGGAAATAATAAAATAATAAAAATTAAAAATACAATTCTCACGACGTTTCGATTGCAACACAAGCAATCATCATCAGGTGTGAAAACCACAGCAAAAACATTTTCTTGCTGTGGTTTTCACACCTGATGATGATTGCTTGTGTTGCAATCGAAACGTCGTGAGAATTTAATTGTTTTATTTTTATTGTTTTATTTTTTCACAGCAAGAATTTATTAGTATTTTATTATTTCCCTTTTATGTGACTTTACCGAAAGAACCAAGAATATAAATCCCTGCAGTTACGAAAGCTTTAAAACGAAAAAAAAAACAACAACAGTAACAAATACCAACGCCAGTGTAATGATTTCGTCGGTGAAAAAAAAAGTATTTGGTGGAAAAAAAAAAACAAGCGAGCAAAACAAAAAGATATAATCGCCGCTAATTTCTCGAACCCTCGATTAAAAAAACAGCGAGGGCTTTTGAGGCGTGACCCTTGCGGAGCCGGGTTCTGTCCCGTCGACGCAGATAAACGAGTGATGGGGTTAATTCATTAACCAATCAATAGGCCATCGCACGGCGCTCTCGGTAAGGGGAGGCTGTGGGGACAACGGGTGCTAAAGGCCACGATGCGCTGGGACGACTTTGGGGCAATCGTTGCCACAGTCATCACCGGCAACAGTCGCCTTTCGTAAGCGTGAGGATAAAACGACGAAATATCGGACAAATCTGTTCGCTGCTCAAAATTGTTCCAGTGAAGCACCTGAATGGCATGCACTGGCACTCAGCAGTTGTGGGGGGGTGGTGGGGTTGTGGAAAGAAGATGCGTTCACCATAACCTGTACCTGTCACGGGACGCTTCCTGAATTTGGAGACTTCCCAGGCCAGGGGCAGTCTACCTCCGTCGCCTTTCGTGGCGTCACCCTTGGGCACCGAGGTTGCTGCGAAGTCGGCGAGACGTTGGCTTGGAACTCGATGTGGCCTACGGGTGTTGCCACTGCCGCCATCCATCGCCCGGATCGCAGCGGCTGTTGACTGGACATCGAAGGAAAGACGATCACCGTATCGCGTGGCGCTTTCACGGGCACTTCTGCGGCCGTCCGTAATGCCCCTGATTATTAAGCCACTGGAGCTATGCACTTTTAACGCATCTAGATTGACAAGGTCACTTCTATAGAACTTGTTTTTGTGTTTCGTTTTGTTGTCCTTCTGCGCACCTCCAATTAGCATGGTTGGCTACGTACGGTGTGAAAGAAGTTCAACACACATCATCAGAGTCTGGTGATCGTGATTGCACTGTGGAGGACTCACGTGACGTGGAGCCGAACAGCTGAAATCAATAAGTAGCATCGGGAAATGATTCAAGAAAGGGAGTTTGCCCAAATATGGACAAATCTGATTACAGACGATCAGGTCACGTGTCTATCCGAGGTTGTGCTACGTCGACCGATCGTTGTTCATCAGACGCAACTAAAGGTGTCTGTGGGTGTCCATCATGTTAGTCTGTGTGTGTGTGTGTATGTTGAACTCATACTGGTAGGAACCCACTGGTTCCACCAGCCCACGGGGGATTATTGTGTCCGTCCGTCGTGCAGGGAGGGGCTGGGTGGGGAGGGAGGGGCAGGGTGGGGAGGGTGGGGAGGGTGGGGAGGGGCTGGGTGGGGAGGAGCTGGGTGGGGAGGGTGGGGCTGGGTGGGGGATGGGGAGGGTGGGGCTGGGTGGGGGGTGGGAAGGCTGGGGCTGGGTGGGGAGGGGCTGGTGACCCCGTGGTGCCCTTATAAAACTCAACGTTTAACCTACTCACGCCGGCTTGTGCCCGCCCTCACAGTCGGGCACATTTGCGGAATACACCACGCCGCCGTTGACCCTGGCCATTGACCGAGCAACCCAACGTTCCTACCAGCTCCCTCCGCAGGAATGTGTTTTCGCACCGTACGTAGTTAACCGCACTAATCGGAGGTGCGAGGGGAAGAGAAACGAAGTAAAAACAAAAAGCACCGATGATTTAAAAAGTGCACAGCTCCAGTAACTTCCTAATAACGTGGGTATGGTTCGGCAACTTCCAATTTGCGAGTCGATGGGACTCTTTTTAAGTCTGTGAATCTCTATGTAAGTATATATGTGTGTGTGTGCGTGTGGTCCATTTGCACATACGTCTGCACTTTTGCCAAATTTCCTGACAGAGGCTAGCTTACATCGACTGGCCCACATTGTTTTTATTCATCTCACTCTGTCTGTTGTTGTTGTCGTATCCTCAAATCTTGTAACTCAATATTTACCCACTTCCCAATGTGGTATCGACTGCAAACTTTGCATACAGTACTTATGTCATACTGATGACAATACTATATTCTATCATAAAAAATAAACAAAACAATTTTAAACTATATTTTTACACGCTTTTTATAAACTCACTCTGCCTGTTGTTGTTGTATCCTCAAATCTTGTAACTCAATTTTAACCCACTTCCAAATGTGGTATCGACTGCAAACTTTGCATACAGTACTTATGTCATACTGATGACAATACTATATTCTATCATTAAAATTTATAAATATATATTTTTAAACATAATTTTTTATATTTTATGTTTCGGCTTGGGTTTAATTGTCCACGCTCAACTGACGTTGCCTGTAAATCACCACAGCCCCTTACGTTATGGCAAGCTTCGGGGCCACTTCCTGGAGTCTTGGAGTTCTACTATTACTAGTAGGGTACATTTCATTAAATCGTGTTTTTAAAAAAAGTTTAAAAAAATTTACTTTTTTTGGCTTAGCTCCTGCTCTGCGCCAGAGCAGATTGAGACAAACGCGGTCGCAGATTTTGATGTTTTGGTTTTGTATTTTCGTGCGCGCTGGGGCTCCACGCGTTAAAGCAACGGTGCTTTGTCCGTGTATCGGCCCGTCGCAATCGCAAACTCACGCGTCCCCTTGAACGCTCGGCCATGAGTCGGAGCCGGAGCAACCCTGAAAATGATTGGGCTTCTGCGGATAATACCCGAGGCTCGTCGAGGCAAACCAAGGCACCCCTTAGGATTATTACGGTTCAATGCTAATGCGTGACCTTTTGCATGCTATCTCAATGAAAGCCCACTGCGCATTAGCTCCATTAAAATAGACATATCGGAGCACTTAGTGGGTGTATTTTTTTTGGGGAGGGGGGGGTGAGACAAACATTCAGAGCTCTTGCTCCCATTTATTTGTAAATATTTATCAAGGTTTGCAAGTGTGAATTTGATTCACTATTGCATATTACAATTGTTCAATCGTTTTGTTGTTGTTGTTATTTTACGAGTTTTCCTTCAAGGCTTCACCGCACTTCACGTTCCACAACGGGGGTTGGGGAAACTCCCCCCCCCCCTCTCCCCCACCCCCCCCCCCACCCCCGTACTTTGTACGTACAACAAAACTGAACACAAACAGCGATCGAGACGAACGCAGACTTTGCGTTTTAAATGCGGGGGCTGTGGCGTTGGTGGCGTTGGTGGTCAAAAATCGTCCAAACTCGCGTGACGTCATTTATGGACGGCCCCATAGAGCGTTGCCCTCCCCCACCCCAGCGTGAGACGTGGGTTTTTCAACTGTAAATCACTTTTATTTTACCAGGCCAGATAAGGCTCCACTGAGCTACATAACTTTCTTTCAGAAGCGACC